AAGGTATAGGGCTGGGGATTTAGCTCAGTGGTTCTGCAACCTGCCTTGCAAGCACAAGTCTCGAGTTTGATCCCTGGTACCTCACCAAAAAAAAAAGGTGTATATGTGTATTCTTTATTTTGGGGTTTTGAGATGGGGTCTCATTATATAGTTTAGGCTGGCCTAGAACTTATGATGATCTTCCTGCCTCAGCCTTTTGAACCATCCTGGGCTTCTCAAAAACATTTCAAAAAAGTGTTATGTTGCTGAGCTTGGGATTTAGCTCAGAAGTAGAGCACTTGCCTAGTATGCACAAGGCCCTGAGTTCAAGCCCCAGAAAACACACAAACATAAAAGTTACACTGTTGCAGAAGTATGCTATGGAGTCAGTCCCATGATGGTTGTGTAGTTGTTTTTTTTTTTTTTCTTGTCATCATTTCCTAAATTTCACAGTATAGCTGTTTACATAGCTGCATTCAACTGCATCAGGTCTATACCTAATCAGACATGATGTAAAGTACACAGAAGGCCAGGCCTGGGGACACATACTTGTAATCCCAGCACTCAGGAGGCTGAGGCAGGCGGATTGCAGTGAGTTTAGGGTTAGCCTGGGCTACATAGTGAGTTCAGCCTGGATTACATAGTAAGTCTTTGTCTCAAACCCTGCCTCCGCCCAAAAAATAAAGTATAAAAGAAGATTATCTAGCTTAGATAAAAATAAGGCACTATTTTTGATTTGATTTGTTTATTTGTTTTATTGATACAGGGTCTCACTATGCAGCCCAGGCTGGCCTTGAACTCATGGTGACCCTCCTGCCTCAGCCTCCCCAGTGCCGGGATTACACACATGCACTATCATGCCTGGCATAAGGATGCTTCTTATAAACTTCCATGAATTTTGGTGTCTGTGGGGGTGCTGGAGCAGAGCCCCTACAGTTCTGAGTACTTGCTCTCAGTAAATGATGAATGCTTGTTTTTGGTTTCTTTGGGTTTTTTGGTACCAGGGATCGAACTCTGATCCCTGGGCTCGCAAGGCAGACAGAGGAACCACTGAGTGAGATTCCCAGCCCTGATGAATGCTTGCTGAGCGAGCGAACACGCGACACCTGTCTGGACCCTCCCATAACCACACTTCGTGTGTGTCCAGGAGGTGGAACCCCGGCCTTGAGCAAGCAAAAGCCTGTGCTCTGGGACCAAGTGACTTGCTCGCCTCCACCGTGAACGCTTACATCCCTTCTGTCTCCTAGGTCCTGCCCATGGTCCAGCCCAGTAGTTCATCCAGGGCCTCAGACACGTCCAGGCCCTGCCCTCACTGCTGCACCGTTTGCTGATGACTTGGTAACGCAGGAATAACATCTATTCCATCGGGGAAGCAGAAGAAGAGTCAGACAACGCATCATCAATAGTCAGATACGCCATGGCAAGAGTTTGGCAAAGGTCACATAAATGGCAGTTTGGGTTATTCCTACCTCACTCCCCAAACCAGACTGTTTTGTGCCTTGCAGAATTTGCTTGTAGGAATATAAAAAACTCTAGGTATGAGCTGTGGATTGGTGGCCAACAGCTATAACCTAGCACTATGGGAGGCTGAGGCAGGAAGATCCCAAGTTCAGGCCCAAACTGAGCAATTTAATGACACAGGGAGACCGTACCTCAAAATAAAAAAGACTGGGGCTGGGCTTGGTAGTGCACGTCTATGATCTCAACACTCAGGAGGCAGAAGCAGGAGAATTGCTGGGAGTTTGAGCACAGTGAGTTTAAGACCAGCCTGAACTACATAAATGAGACTCTTTCTAAAAAACAAAACAAAACAAAAACCCTCTAGGTATGGTAGAAGAACAAGAAGGAGGTCCACAATGAAGATAACATTTTCTTAAATTTGAAAAATAGAAGAGTGAAAAAAGAAGAGGAAGGCTCCAGATTGGCGTGGTGGCACACTCCTATAATCCCAGCACTTGGGAGGCTGAGGCAGGAAGATCACTGTGAATTAGAGGCTCACATGTGCCACGCAGTGAGTGCAAGGCCAGCCTGCACTACTAGTGAGACTCTATCTCAAAAAAGAAAGGGAAAGCCCCAGGTACATAGTGGCACACACCTGTAATGCCAGGGAACAGGAAGGTTGCAAATTCAAAACCAGCCCGGGGCCGGGCATGGTGGCACACGCCTGTAATCCCAGCACTCACTCGGGAGGATGAGGCAGGAGGATCACTGTGAGTTCGAAACCAGCCTAGATTACATAGAGAGTTCCAGGTCAATCTCAACTACATAGTGAGACCCTGTCTCAAAAAAAACAGAAAACAAAGCAAAACAAACAAAAAACCCAAAAAAACAGCCTGGGCTACATAGTCCCTGTCTCAAAGAGGAGAGGGGGGCTGAGGATGTAGGAATATAGCTCAGCAGTGGAGGGCTTACCTCTCCCTCTCTCTCTCTCTCTCTCTCTCTCTCTCTCACACACACACACACTCACACACACACACACAAACACGCACGCAGTAAGAGGAGGGCTGGCCAGAGCAGTCATGGAACTGGGAGGACCTTGGGCTGCCGGGAGCGCCCGTGTGCATTGGTGTGGCAGGGCCAACTGTCAAGATCCGGCCAGCAGCAGGGTTTTGGTGGGGCTGGGCCCGCCTGGCCCAGGCCGGATGCCCGGCCCTCCCTGTAGTTCTTCTGAGCTCCCAGTGTCCCCAGAGGCTGCTGGCCATCTCCTTGGACTGCCCTCCAGTTAGGGTGGGTCCCGGGAAGCCAAGGGCAAAACTGCAGCCAGGAACCTGGGGGACTCTCCTTGTAAATACGGTGCCCCTGGGCCTCCTAACCTGTACATTCTACAAATGTCCAAATTGGGATAGCAAAATCCAGCTCACAGAACTGAAGTGATTTTGCCGGGTGTAGTGGTGCACTCCTGTAATCCCAGCACTCGGGAGGCTGAGACAGGAGGATCTCTGTGAGTTTGAGACCAGCCTGGGCTACGGAGTTGAAAAAAACAAAACAAAAACAAAACAAAACAAAACAAAAAAGAATTGCAGTGATTCGATTCCATCATGTGAGGTTGGCCATATAATTATCCAAGCTGGGAGACATTTGAGAGGCAAAGAGGGCCCTAATGACCGTTAGGCCCTCAGAGACAATAGGCTAAAGCCAGGACTGTCCTGGAACGTTGGGGGGCAGGGCCCTGGGGCCTGCGTATAAGCACAAGTAACATTCATTCATCAGCTGCTAGGCTATGAGGAGCATGGTTCCATATGATGTGACTCATTTGATTCTTTTTTTTCTCTTTTTTCTTTTCAGGCAGGGTCTCCCTTTGTTCAGGCTGGTCCCGAATTTACTATGTAGTCCAGGCTGGCCTCGAACTTGCAGTGATCCTCCTGCCTCAGCCTTCCGAGTGCTGGGATGATAGTGATTAGTCTGATTTTTACAGCCTTTAGCAGTACCCATTTTAGAGGTGGACGCCTATCCCTCTCTAGGTGAATAAATAAAAACATAACACACTTAAGCAATAGTAATGATTAAACTAGGAATTGAGTCTGTGTGTATGTAACTAGACCATGTTGGCTTTAGTAAAAGCAACTACTAGGGCTGAGGACTTAGCTCAGTGGTTCGGTGGCCTGCCTTGCAAGCACAAAGACCTGGGTTCAATCCCTGATACCAAAAAAAATTTTAAAAGGCCACTACTTCTTCCTTCTTTCTTTGGTACTGGGGATTGAACTCTGATCCTGTGCTTGCTAGGCAGGCGGCAGAACCACAGAGCTAAATCCCCAGACCTCTTCTTTTTTCTTTTTAAGAGATGGGGTCTTACTGTGTGGCCCTGCCAGTCTCCTCCCCTTCCTTTCTAAGGCGCCCACAGACTCCAGTCAGTACGTCTGCGGCAGGCCAGGGACTTCCCCTCAGAGGTAAGCTCCATGATACTAGCCCTCTCCTCCCATTTGTTGTGGTTTTTATTAGACGCCCCTAAAGCCTCAAGAGACCATAGGTGGGGCTTTTGAAAGGCGGCTGGATGGCGGGGGCTTGTCGTCACTGATGCTGACGCAAGAACACATGGAATGTGTTGGAAGAGGCGGGCATGGGCCAAGACGCCGAAGGGGTCGCTCTCTCTTCCTTGGTCTCCCTGCTTCCTGTTCACCAGCTGTGAGCTCCTCTCCTCTGTCCTGCCCCTCTGCCATGTCATTCTGCATTACTGACCACGCAAGGACTGAAACTTCTGAAATGTGAGCCAGCCGGGCGTGGTGCACAGACCTGTAATCCCAGCACTGGAGAGGCTGGGGCAGGAGGATCACAGTGAGGTCAAGGCCAGCCTGAGCTACACAGAGAGATTTTCTCTCTCTCTCAAAACAAGCAAACAGCTGAGCTAGTGGCATTTGCCTGTAATTGCAGCACTCAGGAGGCTGAGGCAGGAGGATCACTGTGAGTTCAAGACCAGCCTGGGCTACAAACATAGTGAGTTCCAGGTCAGGCTCAACTACATATTGAGACCCTGTCTCAAAAAAACAAAAAATAAACAAAACGTGAGCCCAAATAAACCTCGCCTCCTTTAATTTGCAGGTGTTGGGTATTCTGTCCCAATAAGAACATAACTAAGACACCACCTGACCCTGTCCGCTGGGAGAACCTAACCTTTCAGGTATGCCACGTGCAGCTGAATGATCAGACCAGTGTCTCAGCCGGGCTCTCTACTGAGCTCCAAACCAGTGTACTCACCAGTGTATTCAGAAGCTGTCCGGACCCTTTTCCCCTTTATCCTCAAGTCCTATTTATTTATTTATTTATTTATTTCGCTACTGGGGATCAAACTCGGGGCCTTGAGTTTGCGGGCAGGTGGCAGACTCAAGGCCCTTCTAAATTAAAAAAAAAAAAAAAAAAAAAAAAAAAAAAGAAAAA